AGAATGCGAGTCCAATCTGCGAGATGCTGAAGCCATGGTTGTTGCCGAATACGAGAGGAAAGGCGCCAAAGAAGAGGTACAAGATACCCAACAGAATGGCCGACAAGATGCAGAGGCTCAAGCACTAGATCACAACAGTCAGTCCACCAATCACGGCTTCCCTAAGCGCGGAGACCCACCATAGGCTCGAAGAAAAGAAGTTGAAACGGGCGGATGCATGACCACAGCACGGTTTTGGCGATAGACCTGTCCATCTTCTCGATAGGCGCTATCCACTCTGGGTTGCCGGTTTCTTTTCGCAGTCGAATCGCCTTTCGCCGGAGCAGAACGGGGTGGTACGTCTCAGGCACGAAAAGAACGATTAGGCAAAGCTACGAGACTAGCATTAGTCTCTGGTGCACATGGTGTGCAGCACAACCTTACCTGAACTCCAGACCAGATGATGAGAACGTAGAAACACCTGATTGCACGTTAACAACTCGCCGATTTCTCCGCAAGAGCTGATTGACGGCACTCTCGATACGAGCATCAGGGGTAGATGCTGCCAGCTCGCCCAACGCCATCGCAGCTGCAGGTGCAGTGTCGCAAGGGTGGGGTTAGTGGGCCTGGAATAAGCACTTACCATCTCCATGTAGTATTTTCCACAATGAAGCCTCCTATCAGAGGGCCTACCTCTGGCCCAACGAACGGGCTGGCTGTGTAGACCATCATGGGCGCAGATAGTTCCTACACTTACGTCAGATGTAGAGGGCTAGCGAGCATCGAATGTACTGACGTGTTTCCCGAACATGTCACCAACAGTACCTCCAGCAACACTGAGGAAGGCTGAGCCAGCTAGGCCGTCCAAAAAGCGCGCAACCAACATTGTCTGGATGTTTTGTGCCACAGCGCATGGTATCATCCAGATGAGGAAGAATGTGAATGAGCAGATATAGATTGGCCTTCGACCGTAGAACTGGATCATGTTAGTAGATCACGGGTACGGCGAAGTGCCGTTAATTCCCGGCAGCTGTACGCACCTCCGAGAGTGGACTTAAAATCATCGGTCCTGCGCCGAGTCCCGCAACAAACATAGATAGACCAAGCGTGCATACTAGGCGCGAGGCCCCAAACTCAGGCTCCAGCTGACTATACGTCGACGTATATAGCGATGAGGTGCATGTCCTACATTTAGCATTCGTTAGTTTCTGCGTGTGCAACGGTTCGTATATGAGGTTGATGACGTACACGCATAGTGAACTACTGGCGCATATCAATACGATGAGCCATCTTCGTAGTTTGCCCATGCTCCGAGGATTCTCTGGGTCGGCGTCACCATCCCAAGTCACGAGGTACGGTTGCTCCGTTACGGGTCCCGGCCTGGAATTGTTCGGTCCTTTGGCATTGGCTTCTGCGTCGAGGCATGTGTAGCCATCTCCTCCAGCTCTCGAGTGGTGCGATCTGACAGTCTTCAGGCTCCTTCCGTCTTGCGAACGTCTGCTTTGGCTGCGGCCTCTTCCAGCTGTTGCGTCATTCTCCTTCGTCGGAGACTGCATAGCTCCGTCATGACCATCAGCTTTCTCTTCGTCGATGTCGGCGGCAGATACTCCTCTCTTCTCGTACTCGCTTGACGCGCTATCTTCATGTTGTTCGCGTGTCGAGCCAAGGCTCGTTCTCTCCTTCGACTCCATTCTAATCAGTCTCGCCGTCGCTCTGGGTATTGGAATGGAACGAAAGGTCCGACGAGTACCAAAATCACCAACGACACGCCAATCTTTCAGAAACTGCTCCACTCTGAAAATGACTAGTTGCCGCTCGGATATAACTCGCTAGTGTTCTCAAAGACCCCTGATGACAAACCCTGGTTATGCGACGCGATGCAGGTTCAACAGGCGAAGGAATGAGGTGGGAAACGCGAAGACAACATCACTCTTGGAGCAGACATCGCGCTCCGACTAAGCTTTCAAACCGCGCCGCGGCGATCGGCTCAAAGGCTCTGGAGCCACTCGTGGACAGAGTGGGGTGGCGTCTTCCTGCCATAACGGCGCCATCCTGTCTAGACTGCTGGGGTGCGTATGTGCGTCATCCGGCTAAGACATCTGCTAGGGTGCTGACATGGACATGTTGATTTGCGATGCTGGTATGTAATGCGGATTTAACGCGCGAGCGCGCCGATAACGAGTCGCATCGCAGACACACGTTGATCTGGCGATAGAATTCGTCGTCTCTCGTGAGCGGCCTTCCGACGCTGCTTCCGACGTTGCTTCCGACGGTGCGATTCATGTCTTCGCCCTTGAATTGCCGCGATCGGCGCAAGACCTGCCGATAGCTAAGACTAGCGGGCCGTAACTAGCAAAACCATCCGTTCGGAAAAGCATTTGCCCTGGTCCCTGGAAACTGCTATGTGATAACGTCTTTCGACCTCAAGTTCCTCATTCCTGAAATCCGCACAAGGACACTTACCGTACCTTCGCGTTGTAATCAGTTGCATCTATCAATCGTGTTGGAGTTGTTGTGCAACTGACGAGTAAGGGCGCACCTGCCCACCACCTGCACAATTGCCACCAACTTCAGGTCTCTTGACCACGAGGCACTTCTTCCTCGCTTTGAAAGCAGAGCGTAACATGTTGATGCTTTGTAACCTAGATGTAGTTGTTTCAGTGTAGAGATGACATCAGAAGTAAGTTTCTAACATACACGAACCGCCGCAATAACGGCGCCACGTGGGAGATGCACTAGGGGAGATGACAAACGCCGGCAAGGAAAAAGAAAGCATGAAGCCTTTCTTCCAGACGTTTCTAGGGTAACGCCTGAAGCGCGCGAATAATACGCGAATACGCCGCCTAGGGAATGGCTGATGCGTGTCTCTCTGGATTTGTCGCGGATGGCGACGTGGTGGGAATCGCGTTGCGCATTCGATACATGTGTAGTAATGCGTCTCATGAATGCCGAATAAGCTATTGAAGCTTTACCAGTCATCCACTACGTCACATGGACAGTCTACTTATCAATGGCTCTAGAGCAGAGCATGTACATATCAACTACAGAGAAAATATGAACGGCTTAGGTTATGCGCAAAGCGCTCTGGTGCTAAAGCGGAATTCATAAATACGTCCGTTCATCCAGCATTAGAAATCCGTGAGTAGAAGATCATTTCTTCATATTCGATAGCGTTTACATGCAGTCACAGTACCAGGTAGTTTCTATCATCGTGTTGTGCGGTAGACGTGTTCAGGAATCACCTACGCGAATTCAAAATGCTCGTAACCTAGCTGTAGATGTTCTCAGGTTGTATCTTGCCATTGTAAAAAGCCTTTTGCATCCCAGATATCAAGGACATACGCCATGACATCTAGTAGCTCCAAGCTCAATCGAACGGATTTCTGGTAACTCAGTGTCTCCCTAAGATACGTGTAATGCACCGAGCCTAGAAAGCAAGGGCGTCAATTTTGACATTGGAAAAAGTACATGGCGGTCAGAAGCTTGGCACAACGTCGGGACTTGGATTGTGATGTTCTATGTGGAGTATGATGTAAATCCTGTAGAGTGTGTAATCGTATAGGTAAAACGATTCCAGCTGTACGATGTCCTCGAACTGTTAGTCTAAATGTGATAATCCACCTGGCATACCACTGATACCTTGCCACCCATGCGTTGCCAATCCATGAATCGTGACATCTAACATGAAGATGTACTCATTTCCTGCCAGTCTACCATACTCCCCTTCCCTACATCCCTAACCGTACCTGCACTCTAAGCCATTCCTGTTGCAAACCACCAGTGCCAGCATGAGCCCAGAGTGTCTTCGGATGCATTGACGATGTCTCTCTACTGTTGCGTAGATTCCCTATTGGGCTACATTTCTTGCATGATCAGATTAGTACGCGAGCGCGAAATGGCATCTTTTCCTCCACCTTGCTTCTGCCTTTTGCTTGTGATGTTGTGATGCGACTTCAACTCCCTGCCTTTGCTTTTGCCTTTGCTGCTGATAAGGGGTCTGCGGATGCAGGTGCTGTGAGTTCGTGATTGACAGTTCGTTGGGGTTGTCGCTCCTGCGTCATGGAAAATACTGGAAAGGAAACGGTGACGCATGCGGTACGTATCGCTGCCCTCAACGCGAGCTCGGGAGTATGAGTAGGTAATATAGGTTGAATGTCGAGACAAGTTCCTGATGATTACAATATAGCCCATTAGATTGCGCAGGCCCAGTAGGTGTGGTCAGGAATGCCATGCATGGTGGACGTTGTAACTGGGTCGTCGCTTTGCGCCATTGCAGTACCAACGGAAGAAGTGGATCATTGGTATGCCATGGTATCACGGCCCGTAACACAATTACGATGCATTCGAGTGTTCATACCATGGTCGTATCGTCCCACACCCAGCATCCAAGAATATAAAAAGCCCTCGCATCCTCGTCTCCCTCTGTTCTCAATGAGCAAAACTTCTTCCTATTAAATGGCGGTATCCTGTCATCCGGTGGCAGAATACCGAAACACTCTTCCGGGGCTCAGTGCTGAAAGCATTGTTCAACTTTTAGCGAGACTGTCGTCAAACACATCTTCCTAAGCAGTCACAGCCATCAGTCACACATACCCAAAGCCCCTTTCGTACTCAGTTAGAATGCGTGGTTCTGAATACGTGTGTTCTCGACGGACTCGAACTCAACAGGCCGACATGACTCATCGGAGGCGGTGATGATAACGACAGATGGACAGGCATCTTTCTAAGGAGGGAATCTACACGTCCGAAACTGATGATATCTGAGCCTCAAAGATAAATGGTTGGGAAGTTGGGAGGGTGATGGTCGGGTGGGGTTTCGTGGTGGGCGCGGCGATGCTCGGGGGAGGTGTATTTTGACTTGCGGGTTGCTGCATACATGCTGTTGAATGTTGATAAGTTGCTACGGCATAAGACAATGTATACCTCAACCTTGAAAATATTCCTGAACAATGTTCTTGCAGATTGCGGTACGGGATGTAGTAAATCACTCATAAGAAGTGTCATAGCAAAGGAAACAGTTCGTTCGATTCAATCTTGTCATACCCACCGCGTCCAGCGCGTATATCCTAGTAATAGGGACAAGTAGTAGGCTCCCAGTAATGGCTGTCTAAACATTCCTCACGACCGCACGCCTCATAACCATGCGCCATGATCCGGTTGAAGGTGCCGCGGCTCTGGAAGCAGTGTCTGCACAGCGAGTTCCTCTTCCATTCGTCGCCATGGGGGTTCTTGTAAATGGAGATGTCGTGCCTCAACTCGTCGCTCGTGTCCATCAGGTGTAGGGGTCTTAAGTAGCTGGGGGTCTCAGGGGGTCCAGAGGACCCTGACGTATACCTTCGCGTGACATGTCGTTCAGGCGTTCTTGGCCGAGGTATTGTAGGCGCCAGGGTATGTTTTGGTGAGTCGCTTCGCAACTTTTTGGTCTGATGTCGTCGTCCGGCTGTGTCTTGGCTTCTCCCTCGCTTACGTGCTTCGTAATGTCAGCGCCTGGGTATGGTAAAAGATTAGATATACGTACGACACTTGACCCAGGAATCCTGATACGAAGCCGGCGTTAGCGCCGAATTTGGAGCCGTGGTGTCAGTCGAAGTTGAAGTTACCGCCGAAGTCGGAGGCTCAGTAGGTGAAGGCATGGTGGAGATATCAGAGTCGCAGAAAAGAAGTGGCGATTTGGAGGGGTCGGTATCCTGCCCGATGGCATTTGGTTGAGTGATGAAGCGCGAAAGTGGGATCTGTAGGCTCTTGAGCGTTGGTCGGGGCGGTCTTGGTGTATTACTTGTGGAGTCATCTTGTGACCTGATATCGTCGAGGAGCTGGCGCAGGAAGGATGTCGACGGCCCGGCACCGCTTGGGGACTTGAAGGTGTGCGGTTGTGTGGGTGTAGGCATCTTGATGCTCACAGAGTGTGATAGGCGATGGAGCTGGCAATGAAACTAATGCTGGCGCAATAAGATTGGGACAGGACTGGATGATGAGAGGTGGGAGAGACGCAGGGCTGAGAGATTGAAGTTCTCCAGTTGATGTCGTGCTTGGGGGAAAGTGTCAGCGTACAGAAGACAGGCAAGAGCGTTTGCCGTCACATGCGACTGCCCCGTATAGGCTTCCAAGGTTCCATTGGATGCACGTGTCAGCGAGAGAGAAATTACGTCTACACATCAAACGGGTCATGATGAAGTGAGATTCGCTACAAGATGCCACATAGCTCTCACCTGATATGGTATACTACAAGCCTCGTCTATCATGCAGAGGCCGTTCCGTTGCGCCTGTTCATATCGTGCATTGGTCGTGTTGCTCATGTCTCGGACATCTCGGTGTCCTCAGCCTTGGCCAGGCCGTGCTCCTTCAGCAGAGCATCGATCTCGTCCGCTCCCCACAGGTGGTGGTAGATCTTGCCTTCCTTTGTCCTTCCTACTGTCGCAAACTCAACTACACATTGTCAGTACTCTCCCGGTATATGGTCAGGCGATGAACGTACTCTTCTCGCTGCTCAGCTTGGTTGAGTCCATGGTCTTGCTGAGTACCTTGACTGCAAGCCCGCACGCTTCCTTCAGATCGCACTCCTCCTTGTAGTCCTGCTTCAACAAGCTCTGCGCAGAGGCGTTGTTCGCGCCGACACTGGTAGCCTTCCAGCCGCCGTAGTTGCCACTGGGGTTACTCTGGTAAAGCTGGAACTGGCGCTGGGGGTCCCATCCGGCGTAGATGAATGACACGCCGAACGGTCGGAGACCTCCGTGCTGCGTGTAACCCTGCTTGAGATCGCATAAGCGGCGGACGAGCTGCTCGCAGGGAATGTCTTCGTTGTAGGTGAGGAGGTAGCGTTGGGCGTTTTGACGGGCGTAGTTGATGAGGATGTTGGCATCGGCAGTCATACCTGCTACGGCGCAGATCATGTTGCTGTAGTACCATTAGTCGCTGTGTATATATGACCGATGGTCAACGCACTCGTTCAAGATGTACAGCTTCTCGGCCGATGTGTCTTGCTCCAACAACTTGCTGGTGACCTTCCTCTCTGCGGCGAGTACAATACCATCCTGGGCCAAGATGCCTAGCGCTGTTCCGGCGTGCGAGATGGCTTCGAGGGCATATTCGACTTGGTAGAGGCGACCTTCCGGGGAGAAGATGGTCGTCTATACATTGTTAGCTGTGTCCTGGCCGTGGTTGTAAGTATTTTCGTACCCTGGAGTCGTATCTCCGTGACATGATTGCGGTCTACTCTGGCGGTCTGGGTGGTATTGGGGTTGTAGACAGCAGTGGGCGAGGGAGAAGGCGGCGGGGAAGTCGGGGCGTGGGCTGGTGTTGATGGAAGCTCCAGGCACAAGCTCCTACGCAGCGCGTCGGCGATTCAGGCTGCTTGGCGCCGACCACTTTTTGGATCGCGCGCTGCAACACCAACTTTCCTATCCTCAACTCTTTTCGCAAGAGTCGAATAGCTTCAATTCCTGGCTGCAACACGACATAACCATGTCGGACATACCAGTGCGACCGCCTGCACCCGCAGCGCCGCTCCCTCCAGGCTGGACAGAGCACAAGGCGCCTTCAGGTAGCTATAGCCAGCGCCTACTTGCGTCATATGCTTCCGCTAACATTGCAGGCCACTCATACTACTACAACGCCGAGTTAAATAAATCGACATATACGCGACCTGTTGCAGAGATTGCGCAATTCCATAATCCAACGCCGCCACCTGCATCCGCACCTTACCACGCGCCCTCCAATTACGGCCTTGGCCATGATAGCCAACCAGCGCAAACTGCTTCCCAGCCTCAGCCTTCGATCAACGACTTCATTTTCGCGAGCGCGCCGAAGCAATTTCCCAAGCATGGCGGGGCGCATCAACAATCAAGAGGTGGGCATCGGGGAGGGGTGCGCGGAGGGCAGAACAGCTTCAACGACCGAAGAAGAGACCGCGATGATAGGCCAAAGCATCGCCAGGACATACCAAACTGCGCGCCATGGGTTCTGGTCAAGACAAAGTTCGGACGACGTTTTGTGTGGAACAAGGACACAAACGAAAGTTTCTGGAAGTTCCCGCCCAACGTCATGACTGCCGTTGTCGAGTTCGATCGGAAGGAGCGCGAAAAGAAGGAACGCAGGGAACGGGGCGAGCCCAGCGACGTGGAAGAGGAGAACGATGCTATGGCTGAGATCGAGGCGGAGCTGGCAGAAGCGGAAGAGGAGGTTGAGATAGTCGAAGTAAACGGTGAAGAGGGTATGGAGAACGATGAGGAGTATGAAGAGGTCGAAGTCACGGACGATGAGGGCGAGGCATCGGGGCATGCACAGAAACGACAGCGCACCGAAGAACCATCTGGAGACCCACAACCCGAGGAAGATGACGATCTGGCATGGCAACTGGCACAGATGGAGGAGATGGAGATGGACCAGGGCTATGACGATCAATTTGATGAGGAGGAACCTGCTTTGTCCGAAGAGGACTGCAAAGCGCTGTTCAAGGAGCTCCTCGACGATACCAAAGTCAGCCCATTTGCACCCTGGGACAAAATTCTGGAGGACGGTGTATTATTTGACGACGAGCGATACAAGGCTTTACCGAACATGGCAGCGCGCAAAGAATGCTTCAACGAATGGTCGCGAGATAAAGCCCAGTTTCTCAAGGAAGAGAAAGCCCGGCAAGCGAAACGAGACCCACGGATACCGTACTTGGCATTCCTCGACAAGCATGCAACACCAAAGCTCTACTGGCCAGAGTTTCGCCGGAAATACAAGAAAGAACCTGAGCTCAAGGATACCAAGCTCCCAGACAAAGACAAGGAGAAGCTATACCGTGACCACATCAAGCGTCTGGCTATGCGATCATCCGATCTGAAATCCGATCTCTCAGCACTCCTGCGAGCCCAACCTCTTGCACTGCTCAACCGCTCCACAACCATCGATACCCTACCCTCCGCCGTACTAAGCGACATCTGCTACATCTCTCTCCCGCCATCAACACGCGAAGGCCTCATTAACACGTACATCTCCACGCTACCACCCGCACCTGAAGGTGTCGTCTACTCCGCCGAAGAAGAAGCAGAACGTGCGAAGAAGTGGGCCGAGCGCGAACGACGCGAGAAAGCGCTCGCAGACCGTGAGCGACGCGTTCGTGAGGAGAAGAGAAAGCAAGAGCGCGATCTGGCCTACGGGAAAGGCAGGTTACGCGAAGAAGAAGCGGAGATTGAGCGAGCGATGAATGTAGGGAAAGAGGGCTTGAAGAGTTATCTGAAAGAGTAGATACCCATGCACGTAATACATATGCTGTGCTTCAACCTACATGCATGTTATCGAGATACGACTTGCATATTGAAGTTTCTTAGAGTTTGGTTCCGCAGTCGCTGTACCACTGGTACGCCTTATAATTCCCCTCTTCATCATACGTCCGCTTACGTCTCATCTCCACACCCTCACCTACCATCCACACACACGCACATCCTGCAACGCGTATAAAACCTTCCCACCACCCCTTCTTCTTCCTCCCTACTCTTCCCATCAACTCAGACCTACATACGACTCGTGAGAGATGTATGCACAGATACTTGGGCTCTTCCACCCCTTGTCCCTCCGTACAAGAGTAGTCCCTAAAAGCGTTGAATGCGACATAACCCCTACTGGTGGTTTGAGTCGTCTTCGATGCTTGAGAATAATAAAGAATTCGGTGAAGCACGCTTCTGCGAAGACTACTTCATCGGATTCCGGTCTGGGTGTGAGCGAGGCGGTGATGAAAAGGACAATGAACAGTTCATCCTGGTAGTTACTGATTCAGAATAGGTAACGGTTGATCTATATACTTTTCTGAGCCTCGGGTCAGTGTTGGAGTTGGTGTCGAAGTGGAGTGTTGGGTGGACTTGGTGGAGCACGGGAGAGATCGGGTAAGATGAGATGAGGTGGGACTCGAGTGGAGGTTGTTATGTTTTCGCGGCGTTACTTGGTCTTGGCCTATGCTCGTGTTATGAGATGTCCTTCGCATTCGCCATTCACCTTAGCGTGCTCGTTCTCGCATTCCACGGCGTCATTCGTTGCTGCAGTGGGAAGGTATCATGGAAAGTATCGACCACAGTCTCTCGTTCTGTTTCTCATTCTCATTCGGAGTCACAATCATGGTCCTAGTTCTCGGTTTCGCATCCTTCGCATCCTTCGCATCCACATCATCCTTCGGCTCCGAACTTTACTTGGCGATATCACCCCAACATCCATGGACCCTCGACCGCCACAACGTCAACTCCACTCTCTATCACTAATCCTGCCTTCCAAATCACCAACTCTAGTAATTCCACCTCCATCCATCGATTCCAGCATCGGATTCGCATCACTGACGACGGGATAAACCCTGTCCACATCTCCCGATCCAACCGGGAAAATAAGTAATCATCCCTAGCCGCTATAGCCTCAATCTCCACACCTTAAACCACCGTGCCTACCTCCCTAAACAAGTAATCCATCGATCATAGCACCGCATTCGCATTCCCTTTCACCAAAACCCTATCTTCGTATCTCGGTGTTAAAATAAAGGAAGGAGTAGCGTACCAACACATCGGTCGGCCGTCCCGTGTGGTAGGAGTGGCGGCAACGTAGGTATCCTACAAAGAACCGTGCCCATGCTCGCTTTCGCTTTGCTCCGATTACTGATTACATGAGGGCTACGCTAAGGGAAGTTGCCGCGCAACATCGGTGTGTGCGGTTGTCCACGGTCGGTGTTTTTACTTTAGCTGCGCTGTTTCTTGTACGAAATGGCTGCATGCGGCAGTTGGAGGAGGAGGTGTTGATGATAGTCTCGCATTCGCGTTGGTGGGTTCTGCTCGAGCAGTTGGTATGGTGGTGCTAGTGGTGTAGTGTAGGTTAGAATAACGGCGAATGACGACCACGCTCGTGTTCGTGCTCCGGTCCTCATTCTTGTTCTTGTTCTCATTCTCATTCTGTTTCCGTCATGTGCTGAAAGCCTGACTCGGTTCATGATCTTGCTTCTGACCCTTGCGCTGATGGTGAGGCCTTCCGTAGATATCTTCAAGAGGATGGATACAAGGATCCGCGGGTACCCACGACGAGCGCTCCAGGCCGTGTGGCGTTAAAGAAGTCTAGATGCGATATTGATCTACCGCTACCTGAGTCTTTCTCCGCTTCCCTGCATACGAAGTGCAAAGTACGATGCGTCCCGTGTATGGTGCTGCGTTGGCATCGCACATGTCAACACATGCCTGCCGGTTACTCTCCCACGCGTGGGACACCGGCGAGATGTTTGCGAGCCAATCGCAACCCTGGTCCCATGTCAGCTTTCTCTATTAGGCAGATACCCAAGAACCATCGATCGTAGCAGGAAGGGCAATGCGGGGCTCTCCAACCCTGTGGAGCCAATCGCTTTTTCGCCGGTGCGCCGTATCGGGTAATTCGCGCGACCGGGAGTGGATCATAGCAATCTTGGCATATGGGGCCAATTGCAAGTGCGAGGCAGGGCTGGCTGCTTGATTAGGAAGGTTTAGTGAAAACCGTCGATTACGCCCACAGGAAGGGCACTGGCCTTGTGGAGCCAATGGGGGCCGCGGGACAGGGCTGGGTTACTCGGATAGGCAGGTTTGCGAGGGAGCTGTTGATCGCGGTGGCTCGCCATGGGGAAGTAAGGGTGCTAGGATTCTCTTCACGACCTGGGATCGCGATATCAGGTTGCCTCTTTTCTGCACTCCTGCTGTGAAGTGTTGGTCTCACCGTACAATGTTCTAAACCAGCGAGCTGCAGGTGAGAAGTTACTTCATGTAGAAAGTCCACGGTTGGCCATCGATTTCAGACACAGATATCCACATGCAACCGGTTACACTTCTGGTCTTCTGTACCTCCCTGTACCATCTTGTCCACCTTCGGCCATCTAGTGGCAGCTACGAAGATACTTCATCTAGAAAGTTTATGACTTGCCATCGATCATAGACAGAAAACCCACAACTTACTACTGAATCGGCGAGTCCTCTCATCTGCTGTGCCCTCATGGTATCACCTTGCCCGCTCTAGACCAGCGAGCTGCAGCTGCGAGACTACTGTATCTAGCAAGTTCCTCACTGACCGTTGATTCCCAGAGTGTGACACCGCGTTTTCCCTCTTTTCGTGCTCACTCAACAGATTCAACACACTATTTCGAGTAATAGCAAAGCTGTGTGTCGATGCCTGCGTTCCACATCACTTCCCGCTGCCCTCATATCATGCAGACACAGCGTCTACATTCTCCGTCCCTACCCCGCCGATTTTACTCAACTCAGTAACTCTCAGGTAAAGTGTTGATCGTCATTGTCGTACTTTCCTCGCATCAATAGTTACGCAACAGTTACACAGCATATGCAATTACCGTCACTACCCCGCCAAATCTACTTAATCTAGTAACTTTCAAACAAAGTGTTGATCGTAGGTCCTGCATACTGAAGCGACTCCTTATGCAGACATCAAACTATCTAGTCAAGCAACAGTTACACAGGATCAGGTATGCGCGCATCTCCGTTGCATCGCACGTTACACCCCGTGCCAACACACTCAACATACCGGAAGCAGTAAGTTCAAGGACGGGTATGGATAGCTGCATGTGGCATAGACGAGACATGCATATGCCGTGTTCCCGGTGCCAAGAAGCTCAACGCACTGTATCGAGTAGATTTGGGGCAGAGTGTAGATTGTAGTTGCATATCCATTTGAATGTCCAATACACATCGGGGAGACGGGAAAGTGCATTGCGGGCTCTTCCGCACGCTGTGTGATGGTCAACATACTCCGGAGCACGAGTAGAGCAGTGATTAGCGCTTTTCTGTATAGGTGTATGCAGAATACCGGTGTGTGTGGGATTCTGCCTGCAGATATGCCGGAAAACGGGGCGTGGATTAAGGGTCGTCACCGATGAGAGTGTGAGTTGGACAAGGGTAGACGAAGGAGGGGTCATTGCATTACTACATCCAGGAAGAAAAGTCGAAAAGACAAGAAAACCGTTGATTACAGCGAACTGTCAATCTCGCTTACCGCATGGCCTCAAGAGATCACCTGGGGAGAAAAGGCTTAGCTGGACGCCTGACACTGCGTAATGTGCAGCGTCCCCGTCAATTAGTTTAGTCACACAAAGCGGTACGGAGAAAGCATTGTTTTTGGACGAAAGAGTATGTGTATTTTGAAACAGAAACAGAGAAAAGCAATGAGCGTACACATAAGCAATGAGGTAAATGGACTGCAGAACCGCTCTGCCTCATCGCATGGGACAAACAGGGTACACCACATGTGGGTATCAAATACAAGAGAAAGAGAGCGCCGCCCAAACTTCCACGCCCCGGCCTCGCCCTGCCTTGCTACGAGATACCTGTACATCCATCCGAGCGCCTCGAAACACCGAACCTGAAAACCCCCGCTCCTACTCTTGAATTCAGCGCTTGCGAATGCGCAAAGAAGCCAGCGCATCTGATACCCTTATCTACGGGGCTCCAGACGCCTGTGCCTGCTGTTGTCCATTTGATTCAGTCTTTGAGCGGAGGTGGTTTGTAAGCACTGTAATGTTGTCGCGCGCTTCAGGTACCGTTTCGACGATATGCCTCAAGTTGATCATCTGCAGTTCCGAGACTACGGAGTTTTGGGATAGGCTAGACCCCAAGATCGTAACAATGACGGGCGCATCAATGTAAGGACCGAGGATCTCAAGAGCCTTGGGGATCTGGTGATGGGGTGGGCCGTTGACGGGTGGCGTGGGTTGTTGGACAGGAACCATATTTGCAGGCGGCGCGGCGAACGGGTTGCCGTACTGGCCTGGTGGGTAGGCGGCGCTTACAGGGGAGAATTGGGGGGCGTGGGGGTTATTCAGTGGCGATGGGCCATTGTTGAGAACAGGCGGGGCCACTTGACCGGTTGCGATCTCTTGCTCTGGGTATCGCTCAAAGTGTTGGGTAGGCGGGAGCTGAGGTTTGATCTCGGGGAGCTTGGCGACCATGGCTAGGATCAACATGTGCTCCTTGCGAGGGGTCTCGATCGTGCAGTACTCGAGCATGTCGATGAACGGAGGGAGATTGCTGCCGCCCTCCTCAATAGGAATGACGTAGAGGTCGCGCAGGATGTCGTTGTCTTCGACAGGTACTACGCCCCATCTGCCGCGTGAATGGAAGTACTCATACAGATGGTCCATGATGGTGCGTCCATCCGTTGTAACAGGGCTCACGGCCAGGATAGAAACTTCATGGCTTTCGGTGTGACCAATGTTCTGGATGTAGTCGTTTCCCTTTGCGCTTTCGATGCGCCCTTGGATCGCCACGGTGTTGGTCAGCAGCTTCTCCCACGGCACGATCTGACCGAAGTCACCACCAGCGACGAATCGAGCGACCGCATCGAAAGGCTCCATTGACTGCATGTTGATGGAGCCCTGCCAGCAAACAGTCGGGTCCGAGGAGTATCCTGACATCTCAACATCATTGTCTTCGTCTTTGAGCAAACGGTCGACGTCGGCATCATCAACTGCAGCCGGAGGCTTGTCTTGCATGTGCATTGAGCTTTGGCGACGCTGAAGGAAGGCCTGCTGATCATGCTGTGGCGATCGGACTTTGTCGAAGACGGAGTTGATGTCGAAGTTGGCGGATGCTCGTCGTGCATGCTCGGACTGGGCGGTGTCAATCTCTGTAGGTCTTCGTGATGCACCTGCGGGACTCTCTGGAGGGCGTGTTCCGGATGGTGACTGCATCGCAGTGTCCTCGGTGATGCTCTCTCGTTCGCGGAGTGTGGGCTGCTTAAAGTCATCATGATCGTTCTCAAAGTTGTCTTCGCCGACAATCTCCTCGCCCTTGTGAGTCTTGCGTAGTCGCGGTCCGGCCTCCTCGGTCAGAATCATCTGCTTCTCGGCCGCTTCGCGCATGGCTGCGTATTCACGTTGCTTGTCTTCGCTCGCCATCTCTTCAGCCTCCATACTGACTAGATCATCAGCTTTTAAGCTTCCAGAGAGGAGGCGATCCACGAGCACCGTGTTCTTCTTGATATTGAACATGATGGTACGAATTTTAGTGAAGTATGGCGAAGACGATCCAGTAGGTTCCCCGTAGAGGTTGAAAGCGGCATGGCTCATTTCGAGAGTGTACTTGGTGGCCAAAGATTTGGCAGTCTGCCCATCCGGTATGCGGAATCCCCTGTTCTCCGAGGCGGTGCTGATCAATGGTGCGAGTGTGTCCCGAAGCTTCTCTGCCACGGCCTTTTGGTTTTGCGGGAGCGAATCGATGTCGCCGACTGAGGCTGACTGAGGGGTAGGCTTGCTCTCGTGGTGGCTGGACTTTCTGCGCTTCTTGCTTGCGTTGGCCTTTTCGGTGGCAGGCTCATGGCGACGCTTCTCACCGAGCGGCGATTGCGGCTGGCTCTTGGTCTCCTGTGTACATGTATGAGTATGCGATAGTCTGTCGCGTTTGCAATGGCATACCTTTGACTCTGCATGTCCGTTGGAGGCTTCTGGCGTCGGCACAGTGATGGGAGCAGGCGTGGGCGTGGGGGCCTCAGTTGGTGCCTGGGCTGTCTGTGAGGGCGTGGCCGACTGTTGAGGCGTGCTGGCCTTCTCTGAGACGGCCTCCTGCTTGACGTCGCTGGGTCGGGGCTTGGGCTTGGAGCCCTTCTTGCGCGCCCATGGTCTCTCTCCACGCGCCATGGCAGCGAGCAGCTCGGTGTGGTCTTCGGGCTTGCATTGCTCGCAGTAGTAGCTCTTGCCCTCCCAGAAGTCGCCCTCGGGGAGACCTAAGCACTTGTTGTGTTGCCAGGCTTCGCAGCTGTCGCAGCAGATCATCTGGCGTCCGCGGATGTCGCGCTGGTCGCCGCAGACACAGCGGATGATGGCATCCTCCTCTTCCTCATCTTGCTGAGAGGATTGCGTCGACTGCGCGCGCTGCGACTGGGCCTTTGCTTGTCCCTTCTTGCTTTGCGCCTGTCCCTTCTTCTCCGAAACTGGTGGCGCCTTGGCCTTTGGAACGGGGGACGGCTCGTCGAGAGAATCAGCGTTCTTGGTGTGGTGGCCTTTGTTGGCGCGCCCGGAGCGGCGGATCTCGTCTGCAGTGGCAATATCAGCATCGGTGTGAGGGTTGGGGATGGGCGTGCGCGCGGTGGTGCGGGTGCCATGAGGGGCGCGACTCAGTGGCTTCATGCGACGGATGCGCGTAGATGGTGTCTGCTTACCGGCCATGGTGTCGGACACGGGTGATGGGCTCAATATAGACGATACCACGAGTGCAGCTTATGCTATTGCGGAACAAGATTCAAAAAGTCTCTACGAAAGCCCCAATCCTGCCTTACGCGCGTCGCACTGCGGACAGACGGACACCAAGTATGGAGCCGCCTCTAACTAGTAAACGAGCGCGAGCGAGCGCTTCTGTCTAACTGCACAGACAGAAGGCGCGATACGTTGTGCGACTGCCGGTTATGAGTCGCAACTGCCTCTTGCGCGTACCTGCCGAATGCGGAGTCGGTGCCGCGCGGTGTGTGGGCGCAAAAAAGATGTCAACCGCGAGGGATGGAAGCTCAATGCATGCGCTGAGCCGTGAGCGCACTAGAAGACAGCAGTGAGAGGGTGCGGGTTGACTGTGGGAGTCGCAATGTGTCGTGTGGTGTCGGACTGAGTGGTGTCAGTGAGGAGGTGGAGCTTTGACACAGCGTTTTGCCGACGCCTTGGCTGCCGTAATCCTGGCCACTAGCGAGCTGTGGACCCTTTGCGCGGCTGGCGTCTGGAGCTACTGGGAGCAGCGCCAGCCAGTCTCAACAAGAACACTGGCGGAATCGCACACTATAGGCACATTCACGACGACCCATATTTCCAAAAGAGCAAGAACCACCTGCATCATCATGGCCGACGCACGAGCTCTTTTGCGACAACAGCGCGCAGCACGGCAGCAGGCGCAAAAGCCCCAAAAGCAATCGGCAGCTCCTGCGACAGCACCCGCGTCGAAAAAGCGCAAGGCTACAGACGAGACAGTGGAGGAGAGGAAACGTACGCGAACCGAGGAAGAGGCTGGTGTACCAGCGGGCTTCTTCGACGCTGGGGCTACAGAAGATGGAGAAGAGGCTGCGTCGGCACCTGCAGCCCAGGAAAGCACGCCCACACCAGATACCCAGCCTCCAGAGGCACCCAAGGTGGCTGAGCCCCAACTCGATCCCACAGCCCAAGCAGAGCTCGATGCCTTCTTAAACGAGATGAACGCCGAAAAGCCCATGCCACCACCGCCCACTCGATCCGCCTACTCGGGTGCTGTCATCGAGGCCGCGCCCATGACAGCCGCCCAGATCGCCGCACAAGCACGAGAAGACCAGAGTGCACAACGCGCAAGGAGGGACGAGGAGATGGAGGGCGAGAAAGAGGATGCTGCGCGGGCGCTCGAAGACGAATTCGAAGAGATGGAAGGCCTCGAAGAGAGGGTGAAGCGACTACGCGAACAGAGAGAAGCTTTGCGATCCAAGTCTGGAGCACCAGTCGAGGCAGAGGACGTTGCGCCAGCGGCTCAAGCCATCGAAGAAGATGGAGAGAGCGAGTCCGACGACGAGGACTGGGACGACTGGAGGTTTCGTCCCGCTTAATTTCTAGGCCCGCATTGCATACAGTAGGCTTTCTGGTGGTCAGCGCATGTATTATATTGTAGCATTACACAATTGTGATACCCGGGGAGGCGTTCCCAAGCAGCGATACATTCAGTCCAAGCAGGGTTTGTCCTTGTCATACAAATACGACATCACATAGAGACAATTACCTATTCTGCTTTTTTCAACACTTCGAACGACTTGCAGACTTGCAGCCCAAAGCAAACCCCTGACATGTGAGATGGCGGTATCGAGTGCCAAGGCGAGCGTCATTGGTGAGAAACCAAACGCTTCAGGCACGAATGAGACAACCTAACCCCACTCACCCACTTCCACCCTCGACTGACACGTGCCCTCGCGAGATACTGCTTTCTCTTAGACACACGCGTTGACATACGACTCGGCACTCCCAACACAACCTCCACACACGGCAGTCTACCCCACAATGTCGCGACGGCCCAACCCTGCCGCTGATCGGGCGGAACAGAATCGCGCCACGCTTAAGAACTTGGTAAAGCTCGAGGGCAACAAGACATGCTCCGACTGCAAGAGGAACAAGCGTGAGTTATAAGCGATCGTAGTATAACGCGCTCTCACTGACAGCTACTTCAGACCCACGATGGGCCAGCTGGAACTTGGGCGTCTTCATCTGCATTCGGTGCTCGGGAATCCACCGTGGCATGGGAACACATATCAGCAAAGTCAAGTCAGTCGACCTCGATACCTGGACCGACGAGCAACTTCAGAGCGTGCTGAAATGGGGCAATGCGCGAGCGAACAAGTACTGGGAGTCGAAACTGGCGCCTGGCCATGTGCCGTCCGAGGCAAAGATTGAGAACTTCATTCGCACAAAGTACGAGTCGAAACGATGGGTCATGGAAGGACCTATGCCCGATCCCTCGACTCTAGAGGCGGATGACGACGATATTGTAAGTGGGCCAGGACGACAACACATCTGCACGGGATAGCAACTAACAGAGTGTAGCCATTGAAAAAGGTTCAGGAGAAGGTCCAAATAGAACGCTCCGCATCGCAACGTCTAGCACAGAGCTCCAGCCAGCCTCCTCCTCCCCCGCGACAAGCACAAGCGCCGCCAACCATAGACCTTTTTGGCGACGACCCCGTTCCTCAGCGACCGAGCACTGGGCCGCCGATTGCAGCCAGGGGGCCTCCCAAGGCAGAGACAGCCCCACCGAAACAGAACAAGGCTGGCGATTCATTGTTGGGATTGGACTTCCTCGGCGGATCATCTTCTGCGGCACCATCTCGTCCATCTAGCACAGGTCCTGCTGCAGCGGCGCCGTCGAGACCAGATCTCAAGCAGTCCATCTTATCGCTTTACGCTTCCAAGCCTGCCGCACCACCCCAGCCCCAGCAGCATGCACGTCAAGACTCATTTGGTGGACTGGCGTCACCCCAGGGGCAGCAATCGCCTCAACAGTCGGCTTTTGGTGGCATGAACGATGCGTTTAGCAGTCTGTCTTTCAACCCTGCTCCAGCAGCTAAACCCTCACCTTTCTCCGGCCTCGATAGTTTCTCCAGCGCAAAGTCACCACCTACAACCTCTTCCTCCAACATGTTTGGTGGCGGCGGCAACTTCTTCGATTCCAAGCCTGCTCCCCAGACCCAGTCGCAAAGTCGCACAATGAGTCCGTCAGGTGGTATGGCTGACTTCAGCGCTTTCTCGTCTCCCGCTCCATCCAAGCCTGCAGCTCCAGCAGCAAGCGGCATGAACGATCTTTTGGACCTGTCTATGCCCTCTGCACCGGCGCCTGCACCAAGGGTCACGTCCCCACCACTCGCATCACCACAAGCGAGCTCAGCATTCAACTTGTCTTCACCAGCACCCGCACCCACTCCCAAAGCTGCTCCCGCCCCTGCGACCGTGAACTACTCAGGATTCTCGAACATGGACGCCTGGGGTAGCAACGACGTTTGGGGTTCTTCAGCCCCGAGTCAACCATCAGCTCCATCCACAGCATCACACGCTCAGCCTACGACCCCCGGCTGGGGTGCGCCCCAGGTAACCCAAGACGACGATTTTGGGGGCTGGAGCAGTGCTGCGCCTACCACAACTACTCAGACGACCACCACAACTCACACCACGACCACTCAAAGTAAGCCTGCAGGAGGATTCGGTGGCGGTAGCGATGATCTCTTCTCGAACGTTTGGGAATAGAAGTAGCGTGTACGGGTTTGATGTTTACATGCTACACGTGCTTCAACCCGTATCCTTCAGAGCGTGAAATCAAGATGCGGCTCTGGATGGAGCGTAATGTACATAGTATGATGTTTATAGACTGCTGAATCGAAACCACAATAGACATGCCCCGAAAACGCCAGATATGCATATGGGCCCTGCCGTTTCCGCCCGTAACACATCGTTCCTGTGACCCAACCTATGACCCTTATAAGTATTCGCATCGTAGTCGCCTACGCTCCCAACCTCATGTCCTCTTCTGCCGTCTTCCCTCGACGCCACGCCGAGACTCTTAAAAGACATGTTCCTGTATGGTTGATATCCACGAATCACGTCTTTCTCAAAAGATCAAATGCCAAATCCAATACAACACCACCACCGTCCCTGTTATTATCCCCGCCAACTTCAGAATCGCGACTTTGTTCCCCGAAGAAGCCATGCGCGTGAGGCGTGTGGCGGAGCCTTTGAGTGATGTGCCGAAGGAGGAGAAGGTATCGCTCTGTAGAATGAAATGTCAGCTACGGTGTAACGAGTGCTTAGGTTGTGACGGAGTCGTCCTGTTGGTACCACGATTGGGAAAGATGAGGGGGTATTGTAGGGACATGTTGGGCTGGAATTCCGTGAAGCGCGTGCTTCTTGTTGGACTGTTCATGGGAGTATAGGCTTATGTAGGGAATGGAAGTTATATGAGGGAAGATGTTGCGTGCTCGCGCAAGAGATGCGCAGGTAGCGTACCGTGCTGTCGATGACATGTTGATCGCGCGCATTGTCGTAGATATCTATCGTTACGCCCCGCAGAGCAGATACTTTCGAGGCGAGTTCATCGAGGCGTGAATTGTTCTGTTGTTCGCGCTCGTAGGCTTGCGACATTGTTGCGGGTTATTGGGGGCGCCCGGCCTGAGTTTCGTGGTTTTTGGGGGCTGAGAAGGCTGTATGCTGGGGTATGTACGGTCGCGTAAGCGCAGAGTGACTACAGCTCAATCTTTTGGCTTGCTGTAGTGCTGAGAGTGTCTTCAAGGCGGGTTTCGGGATAGTCTGGCAGCCTTCATACGCGACTGGCTTTGGGTGACGTTCGGGCGCCAAGGGACCCTGAGGGAATGGGGTTAGCGCCAAAGGGCGGCGGGTTCACGCGTGTGCGGGTCTGGGGAAGCTTCGCCAGCTTCGCAATTCCCCATTGTGACTTTAATATTGCTATCTTTTCGTTTCGTCTCGCTCGATATCACAGCCTCGCAAAGTCATCGGGCTGCACCGATATTCTCTCACCTTGTAAAGCATCATGCAGGTGCCTAAAGGCAGCAACAGCAAAGTACCTCGAGACCCCTTGCGCAGTACCATCGCCATCGGAGAACAGCGTATCTAGGCACTGTCATGTAGCACTACATACAACGACAAAGCACCTTGAAGATCAGTATTCTGGAATACGGCTAAATCCAGCTGCTCCCTCTAATTCGCGCGTCCCTGCATGCTGCAGTCTTCAAGCATGAGAGATGTACGCACGACGGCCCAGTGAAGACAGCGTTTCTGCATGGCTTTCAACTTGAAACACTGCCGGGGCACTCACTCGCTGCAGTGTTCTGAGAATATGTGCCAAGCATCTACTGCGCCGCAAAACGCAGCATCGCTTGCCAGGGGAACAACAACCATCACCGCGACGCCAATGAGCTGCCTTCTGCGGGCTAGGTTTGCTAAGTCGCTCAGCTTATACGTTCTGGAAGACTTAGATACTTCGGTTTCGTGGATATGAATGCCCATAAATAGTATACGGATACTCTGTGCGCCAGCCTTGCTTATCTCTCCACGGGTTCGGTCTCTTCATGGGGGCCATCATGATGGGGCCGAGACATTTCCGCATACCGGCACTGCTTGATCGTATCTGCAAGGCCAAGACCGCAAGGCTGAGGTGGAGAGTGCAGTCCGACTACATCCACAGTTTCACAACAACGGCGAGATGCATATAGTTCTCGTACTCACTCCTTGGCTCTGAATCTGCCTTCTCTCCCGTCCACTTAGCACCCCGATAATACCTTGCCCACCATTCCTACCACTCGTAATCCTCCCCGAATCTACCGGGGAACGTATCGTAGCCTGCATGTCTTATTACCGGGCGACACACACAAAGTACAAATTAAGTTACGATTACCGTCGCAGATGTACCAGAGCCTAGTCGATGCAAGTCCGAAGGATGCTGTTCCTTACGGTATCGCCGCTTCTGGAATGAAGCCGGTGGCGAAGCAGTGTACTGAAGCATATTCGGTTGCATCCCGCGTATTCGGCCCCCGGTTGTGCTACGCCGCAAAGCCTCGTGCCGTTTGACGGTACATGCCCGGAAGTACTGTGGTGGGGTGAGCAATGGTGGTGTATAAGTGAGCAGGTTTGGTCTCGTCTGAAGTGTAGCAATTCTCTGGCTTTTGCCGTTCGTCTTGGGTCGTTTCATTCGCAGATTTCTACCCAACTTTGCCTATTCTTCTTTCGGCCACAATGGCATTTCTTCGCGCCCTGTTTCTGGCATATGCCATTGCGTGTGTCCATGCCGCGGTCACTCCACTCGACTCTTCTGTACAGGTGCGCCATGCTCCTGGCCACTCTGTGGAAGATACATATCATGCCATCAAGCGAGGCCTAGCTTTAGCTAGCCTAGAGAACCGGGAGGCCTCTTTCAAAGCTGATCCGATAAACATAGCAAGAAGCTGGAGCGGTGCCACTTTGTTATCGGTGTAAGTACCTAGACAAGGTGCTTCCTATGTCGATGACCGTTGATCATTCCGCCAGGCAAGTCGGACCCGATCAGCCGCTGGACCACCAAAATGGTACCACGACGCTTGAAGCTGGCATCGAAGTCACCTGTCGAAAGTGCTACGTAAAGGGTGTCGTTACTGCTGAGCTTACGATTGACGGCGACTTCGACGCCGCGACGCTCCTCAATAACACCGCCGACTCAGTCAAAACAGGTGTCCAGAACCTCACAAGCGACTTCAAAGACTATCTAGTCAAGTCGATAGAAGAGGTCGAAGATTCGTTCGACATAAGTGACGGGATCGACGCATCTGACTTCGACTTCGACTTTCCCACATTCAATCTTACATTTGACCTTGACGTCCCGACGATCGATGATGCCAACTTACACTTCCAATTTGATGACATGGAGCTATACCTGGAAATCGGAACTACCCTAAGCGCCGGTGCAACATACGAAATTACCCTTTTCGCTACACAAACTCCCGTCGGGATGAAGATAGGGCAATACCTGATGCTTGGCGCAGTCGTTACTGTGGATCTGATCTTGGCTGTAGAAGGTGCTATCGACATCAGTAGCGGATTCCACATCAAGCTTGACGATGGCGTTGCTATTGACCTTCCGTTGTTTGGAAATGAAGTTGCCGATATGACTGTGTAAGTTCCGTCTCTCACACCTGACCAGACCTTCGAAATATTTTCCAAATACTGACTGCATTCAGCAACGGCGGCCAGTTCGAGTTCCTACCGGTCACTCTCGAAAGCGCAAGCATATCTATGTCGGCAGCTCTTCGTGTTGGTGCTCACTGCGGTCTTGAGGTTGTTCCACGAGAACTACCAGCATTCAATGTATTCAACATGAACTTTGGTCCTCCAGCAGTAGATGCCGGTATTGAAGTCGCCGTCTTCGCAAACATAGCCGAGTTTAACACCAACATCACCTACGCTGCAGATGACGAAGACTGCAAGCTGAAAGTCCTGCAAGAATACAACTTTGCCGTAGGTGCCATCGCTGGAGCCTCAGTCGCTGTCGCGTTCCTCAACGAGACAAAGACATGGGGTCCTGTAGCAGAACTATCTACTGCCATCTTCACGACCACGTTGGCGGAGGTATGTGGTATCCAAGGCAAGCCTACCCCAGCACCCACCATTACACCTGGACCGGAGAGACGTCAAGATCTCATCGAGACGGTGATAAGTACCGAAATCACTAGAAGCGGTGTCAGCTGCAATATTCCTGGGCCTGCGAACTGCCCCAACTCGGAGCAAGTCTCGACTACTACGAGATTCAGCTCCACCATTACAACGTCAGTAGCACCCGGCGTTGAAGCGACATGGCCAGTCGAAGCATCCGATACCGTAGAAGAGACCATTGCATTCGGCACGCAAGCAAAGACCATGAGAGCCGTGTCCGGCAAGCCAACTCCGTACGTCGCTCCGCCCGACGAGGACGGCAAGGATGGAAGCGACCATGTACACGATCTCGTCGACGGCTCGACTGGAGGTGTCAGTAACAAGATCATCATTGGTGTTTGCGTTGGTCTAGTTTTGCCTATTCTGGTAGCCATCATCGGAGCTGTTATGTAAGTCTAATCTCCCACGGGCGTTGCGATACTGAGGCAGATACTAACTTATGGTAACACAGCTTCTTCCATAAGCGCAAGCGATATGCTGCAGTGGGCAGTCCTGCGGCACCCATGATCGCTAAACCTTACACCGGCTACAACGACTATAAGGACCGAGTCCAGGAGTTAAAGTCTCCTAGCGGTGGTGTTTCGGAGATGCGCCGTTGATTTTCTCTCCCACAGTGCTGTTCACAATTTCCTTTCGGTCCTCTTCAATGATGCGATGAGCTTTTTCTTCTCTCGTTACGTTCGGGAATTCGGTCGGCGTCTCGCTTGTCTTCTTATCTTTTGCATTTCCATCAACCGGTTCAAGAACTACGGCTATATACCTTAGACTCCAAACGATCACTATCTTGTCAGGATCCCCCAGCGTGAAGCTGCTCGCTGACCCCGCTTGCGGAACCGTGCGGAGAAAGCAAGCGGACCGATAACCCTATCTGGCTTAGCTCGCGACGTCACACCCATCAGACCTAACCACTCAATCTCCATGATCTTCATCCTCCGCAACTGTCTTGGAAAGCTTCCCCATTGACGAGTGGATCCGTCCTATGCAAAGAGCACTTAAGCCGATGGCCAAGTATAGCCAAGGCAGCCACCCCGCACTCTGCATGGCGGGGAAGTACCTCTGTAGGCTAAAGTACTGCGAGAAACGTTCTACGGGCATCGGTTTATGTATTGCCCAGACGGGCCGAACATGTCTGTTATTCCGGTCATGACGAAGTTTTTGCATGGGACGGAGGAAGATGACCCGTAGCGTGCTCTACTGCATCGTATGGTTCTGCTCGGGTACAAAGTAGCTGTGTAAGGACCACCTTTATCGTTCACGCTCATCATTGATATCCAGCGACATTGTGGTTGCCGTCATTCATCAGATGAGCCATATCTGAATTTGGTAATCTTTGCAAACATCGCTACCCACCAGGATGGCAGGTTCCTTGCGAGTGTTGTACAACTCGTACAGCTTCCTACTCCTAGGCTTCTTGTTCTGGCTCTGCTTCGACGCTACAGCCGCTCATGCGGTCTCGAAGCCACGGTCTACAACATCAGGCCGCCAACGCACTTCACTAAACGCAGACTGGCGATTTGAACGCTTCACCTCGGATCCAGATGGCCTGGGTTATGAGGGGTTGAAGCCGTGGATGCTCCCTTGCGCGAACGACTTCATCACTGGAGAAAAGTACGAGAGACCTTCTGGTGCTGCTCCCGGCGCGAACATCAGCTACGTTCAGTCGAGCTTCGACGATTCCGCGTGGGAAGCTGTCTCGCTCCCGCACGACTGGGCTATCTCCGGCACATTCGACGCTCCAGGCGTTGAGGGAGGCCTGGGACGCTTGCCAATCAACGGAATTGGATGGTACCGCCGTACGCTATCTATGGATGCGGAAGTCCTCCAATCTGGCAAATCCGTTTTTCTTGATGTCGATGGAGCTATGTCGTATGCTGCGGTGTGGTTGAATGGTCACCTTGTTGGTGGATGGCCGTATGGCTACAACTCTTTCCGTCTGGATCTTACTCCTTACGCTAAGGCTGGCGATAATACGCTGGCTATTCGTCTGGACAACAAGCTCGACTCATCGCGATGGTACCCGGGCGCTGGGATCTACCGCAATGTCTGGCTTGTTACTGTCAACCCGGTCCACGTCGGACAATGGGGAACTTACGTTACCACTTCTAGCATATCGGAAGCGGAAGCTACTGTCGAGATGGTCCTTGAGCTGGAAAATAAGGGCAACAGCACGCAGCATGTGGAGGTCGTTACCGAGGTTTTCGAGCGCGACGCCACGACGAAGCAAGCTACCGGCGACGCTGTCGCAAAGTTTCCCACACTGGATGCGGATGTGGCAGGTCATTCTAAGCAATCGGTAAAAGGGTCAGTCATGGTCTCGAATCCCAAGCTCTGGGGACCACCGCCTAGCCAAACCCCCAATGAGTATGTCGCTATCTCTACCGTCTCAGTCGGCGGAGAGGCTATGGACAGCTATGAAACTGTATTTGGTATCCGCTCGGTCACGTACGACCCGAGCCAAGGTATCCTTATCAACGGTGAGCGCATCTACGTTCAAGGATCGTGCAATCACCATGATCTGGGCGCTCTCGGAGCAGCTTTCAACACCAGGGCTGCGGAACGTCAAATCGAAATCCTACAAGAGATGGGCAACAACGCTCTTCGCACGTCTCACAACCCGCCTGCCCCCGAGTTCCTTGATCTCGCCGATCGATACGGTCTCATGGTCATGGATGAGATCTTCGATACCTGGAACTTCCCCAAGGTGGAGAACGACTTCCATCGTATCTTCCAAGAATGGCATGAGCCTGATCTCCGATCGTTCATTCGCCGTGATCGCAACCACCCCTCTATCATCTCATGGAGCGTTGGCAACGAGCTTCCTGAACAAAGGAACTCTACTGGTACTGAGACTTGCAGAACACTTCAAGACATAGCCCACGAAGAAGACCCTACCCGCCAAGTGACCATCGGTATGAATAACGCTAACGCCACTACTGGAATAGCAGCCGTTATCGACATCATCGGTTTGAACTACCAAGGCGAAGGCAAAGGAAACTCCTGGGTGAGCACCTTCCCTAGTTTCAAACAAGAATTCCCCGAGAAAATGATCTGGAGCACCGAATCTGCATCAGCACTCAGCACTCGCGGCAAATACCTCTTCCCTATCACCGCAAACAAGAGTGCCATCGTAGGTGGCGGGCCTGGGGAAGGTGGAGACCCAGAGAACAACATTGTGTCTTCATACGATCTCTACGCACCTGAATGGGCCGCTTCACCCGACAAAGTCTTCGAGCAGCAAGACAGACACCCTTACGTGGCTGGTGAATTCGTCTGGACTGGATTTGACTACATCGGTGAACCCACCCCATACGACAACTCAAGCCGAAGTTCCTACTTCGGTATCATCGATCTGGCTGGTTTCAAGAAAGATCGCTTCTACCTCTACCAAGCACGCTGGAGACCAGATCTACCCATGGCCCATATCCTCCCCCATTGGACATGGCCCGAAGATCGCATCGGCGAGATCACGCCCGTACATGTTCACACTTCGGGTGATGAGGCAGAACTTTTTGTCAATGGTGTCTCAGCCGGCCGTCAATCAAGGGGCAAGTACGACTACAGACTCCGCTGGGATGGCGTAAAGTACCGTCCCGGCAACATCAGCGTCATCTCATACAAGAACGGCGAGGAATGGGCCACCGCATCCCAGTTCACAGCTGGTCCCGCTGCGTCGCTGAACATGACTGCTGATCGCACGACAATCGCTGGTGACGGCTACGACCTCTCATTCATCACTGTTTCCGTGCATGACGAGAATGGTATCTTGGTTCCGATGGCGGATGATGAGATTAGCTTTGAGGTCTCGTCTGGCCCAGGTGTTATCGTTGCTACGGATAATGGTGATCCGACAGACATGAGCCCGTTCCCGGAGACGAAGAGGAAGGCGTTTGGCGGGATGGCGCTGGCTATTGTTAGGAGCGAGGCCGGCGCTAGTGGGGAGATCATTGTTGAAGCGAAGGCGGAGGGGTTGAGTGGTGGAAAGGTTGTTCTTGCTGCTAGTTAGGTAGTAATGTGTAATTAATCTGAATGAATCCACACGACATTCCTTAGCATCAATAGTGTATCTTGAGCTCGAGTGCAAGACATGCTGACTGTCGCTTGCCCTACCAAGTTTACGCTGGCTTGATTGTGTTCACGAAACGACGTCTTTGAACCAGCAGTGAATCTTGACTAGTTTTCAGCGTATCGGGGGTGGCGATCTGATGCTCTAGCGGGTCTGGGTCGTAGACAAGACATGAGAACGCAGCGCATGTCGATTCTGTCGTCGCAAAACGAGATGCAGATAATGGCGTATACTTCCAACACTAATTTCATCCCATTTCTGTCGAGATAGAGAGAATTTCCTCGTTGCCATAGCAAATTCGCGCGTCCGCGCCCGCAACCCACACATATAATATTTTGATCCCACTTGACTTCCGCCTCACCACATCCACACATCCAAGTGAGCATCCTACCCTCATTCCCTGCTTTTCATAGCCAGACACTCACATCAGACCAGACTAGTCACAATGCAAATTGCTACTACCAAGAAAGTCGTGAATGCGCTCACTCCTGCCCGCCGCGTTCCCGATGTGCGCCGCGCCGTAGTCAACACTAGTGTCACCGGCAACCCGGTCAGGCCGCTGTACAAGCGGCTCCATATACCAACTTCTTCAAGGACAAGGCTAGCTGCCACTCCGGTGGTGGCGAAGCACATCAAGCCAGCACCTCGTGTGTTGGCGTCAAGGACTATTACTCGCGCTGCGGCGCCAAGGGTACCCAAGATACTTGCTAGAGCTCGAGCTGACTATAAGCAGAATGCGGATAGCAAGATCGGTAAGACGCGTATCCCGAAGCCTACGATTACGGCCGTGAAAGAAGCGAATGTGAGGGGGCAGTCGAGGCTTTGGGCGAGGATGACGAGTGTGGTTGTTCGATGTAAGATCACGGTACTCGCTGCTGAGACAACTACGGAGGCGGAGGCTGATGAGGAAGACTTATATGAGGAGGTCGAGAAGCCTACGATGGAGTTCGAAGAACCGGCGTCGGAGATCAATGAGCCCGCGAACGATGACATGGACAACACTTCGCTCATGTTCAATGACAACAGCTTCGACGACTCCGTCAGCCCTGAGCAGCAGACTTCCGCTATGAACCTCTTCGGACGGAAGATGGTCAGCATGAAGCGGCTCGGTATGGGACTACGCACTAATCGGGATTGGTTCGTTGGCCTGTCTCGATGCCCTGACTACACCGGTGATTCGGTTGGTTTGGAGCGCGTGCGATCAAGAACTGCGGTGGCGGCTGAGTCTCATCTGACAGTGGACGATAGTGAAGGAGGCAAGTTTATTGAATTCGAATTGCATTCACAACTAACGGCTTTCAGTTTTAGCTTTTGTCGAAAGGCCACATTTGGCGAAGACTCCAGCTTCACTGCTGCCTGTTGTCAAACCAACATCTGCTGTTGTCTCTCTCAAGACTACGAAACGACAGATGACTACTTCGAAGACAGAGTCGACAACATCGCCAGCTCGCGACGCCACTGTGTCAAAGCCACGCAAGCCGGTCGCTCCGGTGGCAGCTCTGTGCAAGACTCCGAACAAGCCAACCACTGTTGCCAAGTCGCTCCCGAAGCGTAACTTGGCTCCAGTTTCGTTTTCAAAGCGCAGAGTCAGCTGTGCGAACACGAAGAGGCTCGCGAAGAGGCCAAATGCACGGCCATCGAGCAAGGCCAAGGCTGTACTGAAGTCTGCCATTCGCAAACCCGACTCTCAGGCCGTCAAGAAGCACGTTTG